AGGGTTCTAGTAGCTAAGAAAGGAACGAGAAAAGTCCGGAAGCTGGTATGCTTCTCAGGTATTAACGACTAGATAAAATTTGTAAGTGTTGCGGAAAGAGTCGGTTAGTAATTTACTACACCAGAGCTCGGAATTAGTTGCCCAATTCGGCCAATTCTCGGGAGCTACGCCTTTTTTCTTCCTCTTGTCGCGAGCGCAAGTGACAGTCGCGGCCAGTTGCGGCCAGTTGCGGCTTCAAGCTTGAAGCCGCGATCGTCACTTGCGAGGTCCTCTCGCGGTAAGGGTAAAGCCCATTCTACAATTGCGTAAGCGTAGTCGTGAACGTAAGAGTCAACCAATCCGAATGTTTTATTCACTGATTGCTTTACTCTGATAGGTTGTCGTAATCACTTACAACCACTTACAACCACGTTCACGCAATTGTAGAATGGGCTTAAGATAGAAGGCATAGCCCCCGAGAATCGGTCAAAATGGGCAACTAATTGCGAGCTCTGTACTACACAGTTCGTTTGTGCAATTCCGTGTTCTTGCGAATTCATGCGCATCTGAGTGTGTTCGAGCAGGGTTTGTTATTCTGATAGCTCGTTTAATCGCGCCTAACTGCGTTTGATCTATGTAATCGCTACAATTAGACTTTATGCAATATATAGTATTTGTTATACCATCAAAAACTTTGACGACTTACAGTACCTTTCATTGAGTCACCTCTCTTCTCTCTTCGGCCGATTCTCGGAAGCTGCGCCTTCTATCTCCCCCTTGCCGCACGGCGGGCCACGCAAGTGACGGTCGCGGCCAGTCGCGACTTTAAACTTAGAGGCACGAACGTCACTTTTCAGGCCCGCCGCGCGGCAAGGGGGAGATAGAAGGCGTAGCTCCCCAGAATCGGCCGAAATTGGCAAACTGTTCCGAGTCCTGGTCTAAATAACCATAGCGCGCCCAGTCGCGTTAGTCTTTTATTATCTCTACCGCGTCAGTGTCGCGCGGCGTTCAGTCGAAAGTCTATTGTCTCATCCGTTTCGTAGCCATAGACACAAGGCGAGTTTTTTAATTTATCGATGGATCCATCGCATAAATTAAAAAACTCGTCTATAGGCTGCGTTCGCTTTGGACGCTTACGCGCTGTAAGCGTCATTCTATTTTTATCGCTCATTACATGCGGGAAGAAGATAGAATGACGCTTACAGCGCATAAGCGCCCAAAACGAACGCAGCCATAAGGTAGCTGCGTGAAGATGGCCGCCCCATCATGACAAATATTATAATTTAACTATAATAGATCGTTTGGTGGTCGTTTGGTAGCGTTTGGTAGTCCATTCCCGATGTTTGGTAGTGAAAACTGCTCCAGAAATCAGGAAAAATAGGAAACACATATGAAGTTGGCCCCCCCCCCCTTAGCTGAAAAACCACTTTCAAACCATCATACAGGGTGCGACGCCAAAATCCGGACAAATTATACATTTTTTCCAAACATATTTTTTATTGCAAAAACGAAAAGATTTACAAAATTTTTTTAACCA